GAGGTGAGATAGCTGTGGCTTGTTCTGTCTCTCTGATCTACCAGCATTGGCCACAATAACTGGCCTTGGGTTTGATTTTATTAATAAGAACTTTTAAGATTCCTGCTACATACAATATCCTCTCTGACAAAGGGATATGAGTGGGATAAGAGAGCACTGTACTTTGTGACCAACATGGCAGGACCTGTGAACCCAACTCCACACCACGAATGGGCACTTCCACTCTTGTCACCCAGCAAAGGTTCAACATCACAAGATGTTTACAGCAAAAAGCAAAGGAAGCAGAGAATGGCGATGCCGCAGTACATTTGTGCAGTGGACTGCCACAAAGCCACCTCTCACCAGTGTCAGAGGCCTGACACCATCTTTAGAGCACCGAGTAGAGAAGCTAGGCTCAGGGGTCATATGTGCTGCCCCTGTGTCTCATAAATCATTGCATGTGTATGTGAAGGTGTTTGCAAGGTCAAGAGGTTGCTGCTCACCTGTGCGTGGAGCCAAAGGCAGGTGATAAACTCTTGTTTCTGGATTCCTACCTTGCCTAAAACCAGGGCCCAGTGTGTACCTCTCTCACTCCTAGACATATGTGACCAGAAGTCACTGTTTTAAATTAAAGGCACTATAACTCCAGTTCAAATCCACAGCACCAAGGGCATCAGGCACTCAGGGCAAACCCAGAACAACATTCAAGTCAATGCTAAGGAAAAAACTTTCTCTTGTCCTCTGTCCCAACTTGGGCAACCCAGAAGTCGAACCAAGGACAAGGTTTGATGGAGGCCATTTCCACCCTGGGGATACCAAGAGTGTATAAAGCAGGACAGCACATGTTTACAGCTATGTTCAAAACAGTGAGTGCAAGCCAGTGCCTTTTGGTTGAGGTCTCCTCCCAGATGCCAAGCTGGGAATCATCAATGTTGTTTGCTATAATCTAGTTAACTTCCCCAGGGAAAGAGGGATGGCAAGAATAAGCCATACATGTTTATAGTTGCCTTAGAAAGCAGAAACATCTGCTAAAACCTAAGAGAACTCTACAGCCTTGGGCTGAGTAGGATTTTAGAGGGTTGAACAACCTAGCTCTGCCCTCCTAAGTAAGACTGCAGACAGCAGCATAGGAGAATAGGCCATCCTTCACAGGAAAGATGTCTAGAACCAGTGCTATTCCAAGTAGGCAAAGCACCACATAAATATCATCCCTGTGGCCAAAGCTGCTTGATAGGAAAAGCTCCTGCTTCACATGGTCATTCTAACTGGCCAGCAGCCCTCACAGATGCTGTCCAACCTCTACTGATGGGAGCTTGGAGTCCTCTGTTCTACTGATGGCATCCAACTTCTACTAGTTCTTCAAGTTCCTCCCTTTCCCCACCTCCTTTCTCTCCGGGGACTCTGGTGAGAATAAAGACAATGATGGTTGAGAACGCCCAGCTTGCAGTTTCTATAGTGCGTCCTAGGTAGACTACACAATGTCTCCTGCTGGCCACAGGGCCAGCAGCAGACAGAAGGTAAACACAGACAGCAAGGGAGGGATTAGGGCTGGTAGGGATTTTCCCTCTAGAGAGAGGCCCATGTGAAGACGCACTCAAGTCACAGCAGTGAGCAAATGGTTACGGGCACAGGGCATGGGACGACAGACAAAAATCTTTACTTTCAGTTAAAACACTTCATCTCTGCAGGAGTGGTCCTTTGGAAGCTCTCTTTGTGAACAAGACTCCATCAACATTTCTGAAAACAAGACTGGGAGTGCAGCCAGTGTCAGAGCATGCTCCTAGCACGTGTGAGGCTGTGGGTGGTCCCCAATACCAGTAAACACCAGTGCCCACAGCAGCCTCCTGCACTCTGAAGGGACTGAGCAGCACTCACAGTATGATGTACCTGCTTGTTTTCTTTTTCCAGAGCTTCTGTCAAGCATGACATGAATACCTGAAGAGCAGCTAGTACTTCTGGGGCTCCATCAGTCTCCAGCAGCACAAACCTGAACAAAGCAAAGCGAGGTGACAACATGCTGCTGCTCCATACACATCACAAACCCACGCCACAGCTGGAGCTGCTCTGAGCTCATCCTGAGTGGAGGCAGGAGGGAGCAGCCACCTTCAAGTCTTTCTCACTCGCCCTTCCCATGGGCTGGCTACTGTTTTCAAGCACCTTCATGTTCATGGCCCAAACAGTATCAACAGCAGGTGTTTTGCTTTTAGCAGCTGGGACAGAGCTGCCTGGAGAAGGACAGACTCAGTCAGAATCACCAGAGAGCAGGGAAATCAGGTGTACTTGGTTTGGTTTCCATGCATTTTTATACAATTAACTTTCCTTTTGGTTTAAGAAAAAAAATCTTTTTTTCAAACTTGACTATCCTTAAACAAAAACACTCCTGTCTTCTCACATCTGTGGCCATTTAGGTTAAAGCTGGTATGTTTTAAGAGCAACACAAACGGTGAGGTATTGGTTGTCAAACTTCCTTTCCTAGGTCTGGGGAGGTAGCTCAGTGTGAAGAGCACTTGCTGCTTTTCCAGAGGATTTGAATTCAATTGCCAGCATCCACACCAGGCAGCTCACAACCTTCTGCAACTAGCTCCTGGGACTCTGACACCTCTGACCTCTGCAGGCACCTGCACCACTGCATATACCCACACAGACACGTATATATCTACACATAAATAAAAATAATAAATCTTAGAAAATTCCTTTCCTGGAGCCTGCTGTCTACCCTAGAGCCCTTCCTCCATAGCTATGTGAGAGAGAGTGGTTTGAAGGCAGATCCAGACCCTAGTTGCTCACGTCCACATGGGGCTGGAAGCCTTAGTCTGTCTTTAGGACTCTACAATTACAACCCCCATGAACTTCAGGAGCAGAGCCAACCTGGTGTGTTACACACTCCTTATCGCTGGTCTTCTAAAGTCAGCACATGCCCTCAGGACCTGACTCTTTAAAATAAAAACCACCATGCTGTTGTAATGTAGGTTTATTCTGCCTTTCAAATGGCTCTGCTCAGAACAGCTCTGTGTCTCTTGGCTTTCTTCAAGGTCTTGACAAAAGCCCAGTCAGCCCTCATGTGGTGAAGGGCTGTACTGCTTGCTTTACTTGGAGCTGGGGAAAACCCTGCATGTATATTTAACTAATTCAATCCCACTTCTCTATCACTGAGTATAAAAAGGCTCAAGAATACTGCCTCATTTCTAGCTACTACTGTCTTTTCAGTATGCAATCACTTCTGAGTTTTCACCACCAACTACCCCAAAACTCAAGTGTCTGCTTTTCCATGACAGCCAGAGACTACTGCAAGGTTTTTATTATGTTTGGAAGCTGAGCATTTCCAGATCAACTACTCCCAAAGACATTGTATTTACCTGAACATTTCATCTACGATTCTGAAGATGGCAGGGTGGCAGGCTGCTTGAGGCTGTAAAAGGAAAAGACAATGAAATAGTGAAATACAACAGGTGTCCATCAATAGCAACTTTGGATTATCAGGCAAACGGGGGCCTATGACTGCTCCAGAAGGGGGCACATTCCTTTAGGTCAGGCAGAATGAGCACGGGGTGCACAGAAAAACCCACACATAAAACGGCAGCAATGCTGGGCAAACGTCACTTATTTTTTGTATTCCTGTTATATCTCATATTTTCCATAATAGGCCTGCATGATGTAGAAAAAAAAAAGAGTAAGTTTCATTAGCAGTTAAAAACCACTTCACAAGAGGCCACAAGACCTACCTTAGAACCTCAGCAGCAGCCTCTGCGGTCTGCTCACCCTCCACCCCATGACCCCTCCGCCCCTGAGATAGACATTTGCAGGGCACACCTAGTGGTTAATGGACAGCACAGCTGCATGACACCCAGTGATAGACAGCTCTCTAGTTTAGTCCTAGAATAGCCTAGTGGTGGGTTTTTTTTATAGTTTCAGTCCAAAGAAGCTGGCCCTGAGGCCTAGGAAGGGCCTCCTTAGCCTTACCAGCTTCCATGTATTTTTGGTCAGAACTTAAAACCTGAGTTTATGAGGGATTTAAAACAAACAAACAAACAAACAAAAAAATCTATTTGCATTATAAAACTCACAGTGTCATCTAGATATGAATAGGCCAGGTTCTAATAAGGGAATTTCTGAAGTCGTCTTGTGCTTGCTGTGACTAGTTTTGGAAAACATTTTCCATAGCCATCTCAGGCCCTATGCATCACTTTTCTGAACAACCCTGAAGCTGAATGTCGATCTCCTTGGCTTCTCTCATCTGTTAGTTCTGCCGTGGCGCTTAACTTGAAACATGGAATATATGCCATCTAGTGGTCATATGTGAGCATTACAGACTGCCACAGACAAATCAAAGACATTTATGCAAGTTAATGTTTTCTGATTTTCAAATAAAGTAACCCATGATTTCTAACCCTTTGTCAATATACATCTTTGTCCAAATGAAGAGAACCTCAGATTCTCATAAACTTGTTACCTTCTTAAGAAATGAACAACAGAGGAAGGACAGGTCATTTCTTGGTTTTGATCTCAGAAAGTCATTTAATTTGCCTGTTCCTCAGACTCACTGTAAACACTAACAGTTGTTAGGGCACTTGGACATAGACCCAAAAAACACTGAATAAGTTTCTACATGATCATAATGGAAAAGTCCAAACAGGAGAAAAGCAAATTGTATGTCTTAAAGAAATAGAATTCAGCCAAGTTTGTCAGGACAACTCCGTTTTGTGTAGGAATGCACCTTCTAAAAACAAAAGTCAAAAGCCCCCAACAAAGTCACACACCCACAGGCACAGACACAGTGCTGAACGTGCACTGAGGGAAAATAAGACCAGAACTGGATTCAGGGAAGTAAAGCCATATTATTATTATTACAAATGCCTTAACTACCACCACCACCCCACCACCAACTGCCAGCCACTGAAAGTTTGAGAATTATGTGGTCTGAGAACACGAATTTCTAAGTAGTTCTTAAAAAAAGATGTAATAGGTAATTGGGTGGTCACCAAAACCACAAGAGGACACAAGGAAGGGTGTTCCAACCTAGTCTGCCAAAGACAAAACTGGGTGAGCTTCGCTTTGATGCAGTGGTTCCTTCTGAACAGCTCAGCGGGCAGTTCCAACCCAAACAGGCCACGGAATCCACCCACTCTCTCTAATGCGGCTGGACTCTATATGTAGATGTCTTTCTTTGTAGGGACTTCAGATTAGTGGTTTTCTCCCAGCTTCCACAGCAACTTTAGATTCTAAATCAGGAAGAGACAAGCAGGGCATCTGCTGAAACAGCCATGCCAAGGGTTGACGTTTAGCCCTCCTTACTGCTCTCACTCAGAGAACCCCTTTCTCCTCCACACTCTTCACTGCAGATCTTCCCAGAACAAGATGTTAGTGTCAGTAAGTTGCTTCATAAAGACCAAAGTTTCTCAGGTCCCTGTGACACACTTAAGCTGATTTTCTCACCAGAACTAACGCTCTTCTGCATGCTTCTCCGAGAGCCAAATTCCACGTCTTACAGAACCCTTGTGAGGAGGAGGCAGATTTAAGTCCTCTGCACAGTGTTTTACAGGTCAGGTGGGACATCACAGGTCGCTCTGCATTCCAGGGCTCTACAGCCCTGCTCTAAAACACGAGATCCGTGCAATTATCTTTCCTACTAAAATAAGGAAAAAGAAAAGGCAAAGCTGCCTCAGGTTCCATCTGCTCATCTGTTTTCCTCCATCCACCCAAAATCTGTTCCTTCTCAAACCCTCATCCATCTGGCCTAACAATCTTCACGTGGAGACGGCCTCATGCCAGGGAAACCACGCCATCAAGAGACACCAGGAATACTCTACCCTCTCCTTGCCCTCCTCACTTTCAATAAACATTTCAGGGTAGACAGATGATGATGAAGACCTGTGGCCTCTTCACCCTCTTCCTTTGCTGGGAACCAGAATGTTCTGTCAGATACACAGCCTCTCCATCTGATGAGACTCTTTCCTCTGTGTTCCCTCTACCCAGGATGGCTCATTTCCATCTCCTAAAGACACTCAGGAAGATGAGTCAACATGGACAGTACAGAGCATCCATAAGAGAGGTGAGGAGTGCTGGAGGCCAGCTTCCCACTCTGCACCATGAGCTCTGCAAGTGGTGCTGACTCTCCTGACTCTCCAGCTGACCAGGGAGCTCATTAAGCCTGCTATTTTCCTCCCAAGGCATCAAGGATTATTATAAGGTACCTGACACTCCAAAGAGGCTGAGAACTCACAGCACATTTCTCAAGAACAGGACACACTTTTTCTATCAATTGTTTTCCGATTGTGTGTATGTGTGTACATGTGTGTACACACATGTGCATGCATGTGAATGCACGAGAGAGAGAGAGAGAGAGAGAGAGAGAGAGAGACAGAGAGAGACAGAGAGAGAGAGACAGAGAGAGAGAGACAGAGAACAAGAAAGGAAACTCATAAGGTGATTCACAGAGAAAAGTGAATACCTCTCAGAAAAAGACAATGAAGGATCAGGAAGAATGAAAGTCACAAGTCTTCTATTGCACAGGCTCAAGTTCAGTAGTTCAGGATGGATTCATTTTAATATTGTTTGATGCTTTACTCAGAAAATAGTCATTTGAGAAAATCAACTGAGAAGTTTCCCCTTCAATTTGCACATGGGAAGGGCAGCCCACCCTCATCGAGTCACCCCTGCTCTACTGACAAGACACCCTCTGTATACAGACACGAGTTAGAAGGGGACTATGAGAGACAAATCCACACAAAACAAAAAGAAAAGCCTTTCCTAAAGGAATATTCCTCATAAGCTTCAACAATAAACTCTTTTACTGAGTTAAAAAATGATTTCGCTTTAAAAAACTACCTATATATAAAAAAAACTTCACATTTATCGTGTAATAAGGCATTTTTATAAATATATACTTTCATTACGGCATTTTCTTTTCTATTTTTAAAATGTTAAACATAAAACTAAATAACCCTTTCACATTTTAGAATCTATTTTGTTTTAAAAGATTCCTGTTTCTTACAACAAATTTGAGTGTTCTTTTTAATCTTTGCCAGATGTTGTTTATACCACAAGCGATTTTTCAGTACCCCATAATGCAATTATTGTTTAATTAGTGATAAATCTGTCATTCTTGGGCTTAAAACCTTAACAAGTACCAAATGTGCTCTTATGTTGTAAGTTTACGTGAGGTCTCAATGTCAGGACAGAGAAGGGGGGTGCACACTGTGGGATGCCCAGCTCTGCATAATGGACAAACTTCTCCGGCTCTGGTCCCTGTGCACCTACACTCAAAGGAAATTTCTCAGGTCCCACTGCTGTTCAACTTGACCTCTGTGTGGGAGGGACTGCCATGGTCCACTATTTTTTGTGATCTGTCTGTGGTCCTCTTTCCCCACTACCTTCCAGTAGCTACAAGGCCTGCAACCCCAAGAATGAAGATTATCCTGCATCCTTGGCTTTCTTTGGAGACAATATATTGGGGCATCTGGTGCCCTCCTGAGGCTGACACTGGAAAGTGCAGCATAGACAGAAGCCCCACAACACTCCTATGGTCCACCAAGGCTAAGTCTTCTACTCCAGCTCTGGTTTAATTTCATGTATCACATCAGAGCTCAAGCAGGAAGTACTTCAAGAACACTAATGAAAATACTAGAACACAAGAGGAAGCTATTCATGCACAAAAAATCAACAACGTCATTGAGGACAGGAGTTACCCCTTTCATTGTATTTTAGCGATAGCATTGGGCAGGGGTTTTCTGGGAAGTTTCTCCTTCTGAAGTCACAGTGACTGCTCTCTGAAGAATGAGAACAAAGACACTTCCTAGCCAATAGGAGAAATACACTGAGATGTCTGGAGCTCAAATACACAAAGGTACTTTTTATTGAGCTACCAACTCTTCTAAGTAAAATAACTAACGAGGGATAGTCTCTGACTTAAGATCAGAGTAAAACAAAAGCCCTACCCTACCTCCTGCCTCCCACCTCCCATGCACCCCCTCTTTGGGGCAGCTCTCCTAGGCCCCAAAGTGGTGGCTTCCAGCAGGCGGGTCAGCCCACGAAGGAGTGTACAGGAGGGCATGGGAACCACGGTGCCCCCGGCTCTGGCACGTAGCACAGTGTAGCAGCCAAACACAGGCCACCCTGCCATCCAGCCAGCCCTTTTCATTCAAATTGGGGACCTAAACAATAGCTTTCTGGGCTCCACACACAGAACTCTAACAGGAAAACGGCCTCCTTGATCCAAGGCCAGCCTGGGCAAAGAGCACAGTGCCAAAAGGGCTGCATAATTAGCAAGTGGCTTTCACTACTTCTCTTGACGTCAGTTTTTAAGGTCAGGTCTGAGGCTACGGATTATGGTCTCCTGGTGACTGCTCTGTCAAAGGAAACACAAGACCATCTGTTTTTGAAACTTTTAGTCTGCACAGTAAATGACAAACTGGGGTTAATACTCTGATCTATCTGGGGCCAGCAACTATGGCAGGCAGCCATGATCTGGGACAATCCAGAGTAGAGAAGCCAAAGGTTGAACCTCACACATAAACAGGTTTGGGAATGTATTTTTATTTCACAAGTCACACACATGTGCATACACACACATCTCATGCAGAATTAAGGCAACGTCAGACTAGTCTCTTATTATTCATTGTCTTACCAGAAACTTCCAGGCCTCTGAAGTCTCTGAAAGGCCAAAGGACATTCAGGGAGGTCATTATACTTTGCATAGCACTTTTATCTTTTGTTTTTGCTATATCTGTGTAACTATAGAATTTCCAGGAATCATTTTGGATAGTCCCAAGAGATGGGAATATAATTAACAGTGTTCCACACAAAACGTAAGTTATGTAGACCATCACACTTTAATTACTGTCAGAATCCAGCGCTAATGCAATTGGCATCAGGTTTCTTGGGCAGCAAAATGCCGCAGTCGAGCTGAGTCTTACAGATCTGATACTGCGAATGCCCCTGTCAATGCTAGAAGATGCTGCACTGCGATAAATGAATCAGATGATGTAATTAGGAAGCAGGTTCTTCAAGTTACCCCTGTAATCATTCAGGCAGGTCACGGGCTTATTCTATCCTGCTGAGCTCTGCTCTGTGGGTTCAATATGGTGGAAAAGAACTGCCTAAGCCAATCAGCGGCTTCCAGCTTGTTGTCTACATTGTAATTACCTCCATGAACCACAAGGCATAGAGAGGTCACATCCTGGTAATGCCACAATAAATTAAAGCAAATAACACCCCCTCAAATCCCTCCTCAACCATAATAAAGCTCTGAAGCTCCCCACACATGATCCTGATAAAGTGCTTCTAAGCTCCTTGATGAGGAAGGTTACGGCCAACCAGTCTGAGGTTTCCTCAACACAATGTCTATGGGAGGAGCACTTTCCTGTGTCCACCTAAGGATGGCTTAGGCTGAAGGCTCTAGGTAACAGACAAGGTTCAGAGAAGAACTCATAACATCAACAGTCACAGACAGTCCAGGGCATGGGAAGCTTTCCACTGAGGGATGATGTAAAGGATGGTTATACGCAGTCTGAAAGCAATAACCCAGTGTCATCGTTGTGCACTGAAAGCAAGGCAGAGCAGAGATAAATAAGTCGCAATGTGCACATTTAATTTAGAAATAAAGACATTTACCAGACAAACTAACTTACTACCTTCACCTGGAAGGGGCTATCAGAGGGCTTCTAGAATGATCTACAAGATCTTTAAGGAAGCTGCACTCTTATTTCTAGCCTTAAGATTCTATATAACTTTTCAAAGTGGTAAGCAGTAGCAATCATGTATGCAAATGTACATACATATGTACATACATGTGAAAGAGCAACTGCTGCCCTATGACTGATTCCTTACAGTCTCCAATCTGAACAGAGATTTCAACCATGCAGGACAGCCAGGCAGTCTCAGCACCTTCCTCAGTCTGGGCCATGACCAAGGCAGATACATGCCCTTCCAGTTTCCTGGCCACTGAGTTGAGCTGTCACTATCCTGCACTGCTGTGGGAACTCACTGCCTCCATCAGGCACCCCAGGCCACAAGAGCCACTGAGAACACAGAGGAGACTCCTGAGGTTCCTGTAAGGGAATGCCACTGCACCTGTACTGCCCTGCTCTTTAGCCACATTATGATTCCTGAAACATAGTAAGTTCTACTTTTTTTTGTTTGTTTTTTGTTTTTCAAGACAGGATTTCCCTGTGTAACAGCCCTGGTTGTCCTGGAACTCACTTGGTAGCCCAGGCTGGCCTCAAGAACTCACAGAGATCCAGCTGCCTCTGCCTCCTGAGTGCTGGGATTAAAGCTGTGCATCACCATGCCCAGCTCAAGTTCAACTTTTTTGCTTGTTTGTTTGTTTGAGACAGGGTTTCTCTGTGTAGCTTTGGAGCCTGTCCTGGTACTCACTCTGTAGCCCAGGCTGGCCTCGAACTCACAGAGATCTGCCTGGCTCTGCCTCCCAAGTGCTGGGATTAAAAGCATACGCCACCACCACCTGGACTTCAACTTTTAATAGGACTCACGTGACTGCTCTGACAGCACAAACTCCTCTCTGTAACCATGCTGGGTGAAAACTGTGTGTGGATATGCAAATGAGACAGTCAGTGTCCTGGACCTTTCACTCCAAAACCTGACACTAGGAAACTGAGATAAAACACCTTCTAGAAGAGGAAATACTGGTGCCTGCAGACTGCATTTGAAACACAAGTCACCATGGCCTGCCCTGCAAACGTGCACACTGAACAGGCACTGGCGGTTGGAGGCTTGCCTGAGTGAACAAGCCCTTTAAATTCACTGAGGACTTCACCAAAATCTGGGCCTTTGCTTAAAGGAACTGGTCTCCTGGAGCAGAGGTGGGCAGTTTCTTTTGTGGACACTGGCTGGTTTATTAGCACTCTGTACACAGTAAATCTCTTTCATATTTTTAATGTGGTTTTGCTATGTTACCCAGGGTGTTTTTTAATTATATTTTATTCACTGGGGGGGGGGGGGTACATGTCATAGCATGTGTGGGGAGGTCAAAGGACAACTTGTGGTAGTTGGTTCTCTCCTTCCACCTTGTGGGTCCTGGGTATTGAACTCAGGTTGCCAAACTTGACGACAAGCACCTTTGCTCACCCAGCCAAACTGGTTTTAAACTGGGCTCAACTGACCCCCATTTGTGTCTTCTGAGTAGCTGGAACACGTCAGTGAACCATGGTGCTCAGTTTAGTTTGCTTTACACAGATACACACACCAACACTCACATACATTTTGCTTATTCTTCTTTTGTGTATCTTACCAGAAAGCAGTTCATTTGAAAAATATTTTCATCTCAACCTGTCACTGGAATAAAGAAGAGGTCTTGCCCTCATTAGGGAAAACATGATTCTTAGGGAGAAATTGTCACCAGATACTGTGTGATGTGTAGTTTTAGTTTTTTTTCCCCTGGGGACACTGGTTCTTAGAGAACCTCACTAACCCCACTAAAGGCAGACATTCTGACTGGCCAGACCCTGACCACTTGTGGCCGCTGATCCCAAGACCTTAGGGCTCTTGAGGAGGTGGGAGCTTCTGCATGCAGGAGCTTCACCCACAAGAAAACTTACACAAGTCCAACTGGTTTTGCTGCTTTAAGCATTCTTCTGAGCTTGTTTGTTTCTCTTGAATACTCTACTTTCTCCTCATGAAGAGCTGTAAGTTCACTTTCTAAGTTTGTATTAACTGTTTTTTTTTTTCTCTCCCTTATAAGATCCTCTGTTTTAAGCACATGTTCCTCATGTTAAAATGAGAAACAGTAATTTTTAAAAGCCCATTCTGCATCTCTGGCCTGTTCAGACCCCTGGGAACTATATTCTGCACATGCCATAGGTAAGGACATGGCCTGTCTGTTTTCTCCTGTGAAATGGGGCAATGTGGTGGAACAGAGCAAATACAGAACAGCATCAGGAGGTGGGTGGAGCCAATACACACCAGTGTAAATTAGGACACTTCTAACCCGAGGAAGCATTAGATGCTCCTAACGAAACAGGGACGGTAAGTCTAAAGGCCCTGCTCTGGTTACACTTGTCACTTCTGTCACTCTTTAACGAATGACATTCTTCTCACCAGTTCCCTGAAGGATTTTTCTTGTCACCAAAGCCCAGCACATACCAGCAATGACTCTTTTATACAGCACTCCATCTCTCTCAGGCAATTTCTCTTGCTGGAGAACAGCTTTTCAAAAAGATGCAGCGTTGATTTTTCAAGACTGGGGAGATGCCGAAACCAGAGGCTGACCACAGAGCATGTGGGCAGAATGATCTTTTTCCTTTGAGCAAGACAGAAACAGAAGGTTAAACAGAAATAGATTCCTAAAAAAAAAAGCAATGTTCAAAAGGCAATTACTCATCAGGTATGTGAGGCTTCTCACCATGGTCTTGGCAGCAGTCAGTATTTATGCACCTATTTGCAAAATACTGTGACAATCACCCACCTAAGAACTTAGTGGAATGCTTAGAAAATGAAGACTTCTTCCAAAAGTATAAACAAATACAAATCAAAGAAAGGGAAAAAAGAAAAATGAGTTGAATAAAATCCCTTCAATGTCCAGGAAATATGGACATAAAGTTAAAAAACATGCTATGTTTTAAACATCTGAAGTAAGCTGAGACCTGGACTGAGTCCAGAGCCCTAAGGAAGTTATCTGTCCCTTCATAGTCTCAGCTTACTTATCTGTAAAACAAAAGTAGCTAGAAGGATCCAATGTAGCAACACACATGTAATACACATCACAGACCACACTATGAATACTCAATAAATGTGAATATAAGTCTTGATGGGAGGCGACCCAGTTGGTGCACAATGAACCTTATGCTACAGCCAAACCATTTCATGTAGCTTTATTTTAGTGTTCTGTCTTTTCTGTGTAGTGTAAGTATGTTTGACAGTGTGGTATATATACATGTGTGTATTTCCATGAATTCATGTATGCAGAGGCCAGAGGATGACATCGGATCTCTTCCTCTATCACTCTCTGCCTTACTTCAAAGAATTGAGGCAGGGTCTACTCCTGAACCTACAGTGCATGGTTGTTTTTGTTTTTTCTTTCTTTTGTCAAGGCTGGCAGCCAGCTAGCACAGCAGTTCTCCTTTCTCCGTATACTCCTCTGCCCACAAACACAGTGCTGGGGTTACAGGCATGCCAGGGAGTACTCCCAGCTTTTAACTTGCAGGAGGGCACTGCCTGGGTGGGGTACTGCTCAGCATGTCACTAGCACCTGAGTCTCCTCCATCTTGGAGTAAAGATACACCCCAGCTTGTGTGTGACAAGCTCATAATTATGAACAGGAATGCCTCTGACTCTCAAAGGTGTTGTGTTCTGACTTAATAGTCATACAGTTGCCACATGTCACACAGTCACCTTATGTGGTCAGCTGGTGTTAGTCATCCATGCTGCCAGGGGCTAATTGTATTTACACACTTCTCTCATCAACTGCATAGATGTTTTCTTGCATGCCAATCTCCTCTCCATCTCTCTGGATACCACACTGATGTCCACTGCTTCAATCTGACTCTGATGCCAACTACCCATGGGTACTGCAGCCATCAGTAAGCGACTCATCCACAAACTACAAGTCTTCTGGTTAAAAACAGCATCCCATGATCCCCTCTTTGGGTATGACAATTTGGTAAAGCAGATCAGAATTTACAGCAATACTCTACTTACAATAATCAGTAATTCATTATAAAAGAAACAACTAGGAATGGTCAGACAGAAGAGACCCACAAGACACATGGGGGATGGTCTTGGGCTTCCTATGCCCTCTCTGGGTACACCAGCCTTGTAACATCTTTGTGTTCACCTGGATGCTTTTCAAGCCCTGTGGTTGAGCTGATGTATCACCAGCACTGGTAATTATGCCTAGTTCTGGTGGTCAGCAAGGCTGGTTGCTCTGCTGCTAGCTCTAATCCTGAAGTTCTCTGGGGGCCCAGCAGACTCACCCCTTTGCCTAAACTCACATATGGTTGGAAAAGTCTTATTGTACCAAAAGATGGCTCCCTTACCCCTATCACTCAGGAAATCACAAAAGTTGTATAAGCCTGGACATAGACCATACATATATTCCTTACTCTGTCATAACACTGAAGCCATGCAGCCATTTCCTCTTTCATCTGCTTCAAGCACAGGGAAAGAAACCTCTGCATGCAGTCATCAGGCTCCCCGGTGTTTCTGAAGCACTGGATTTGGGTTTAGTTCAGAGGACATGACACATTCAATTACTAACACTCCATAGATTAATGAAACTCACCTCTGAAAGATTTTAGGCAGTCTACAGCTTGCAGATGCTGGGACGAGACTCCCAGGGATGAATTTTATAAAATGTTAGGTTCGACATTTAAGTTAAGAAATTAAAAGGTTCCTCTAGGTCATCTAAACCACAAAGGGGAACCAGTATGAGTTGTTTAGAGGAAACAGACAGCCCATTTCTGGAAATACGTGACTGTATTTGGAAGCCAAGGCAAAAGACGCCCAGCCAATTATAAAACACAGGAATTCCACCGTGTGCTGTGGTAAGCAGTTGAGAAGCTGAACATAGGCAAGGCTATGTTGGTCAGAGAAAGCTGCGGCTTCTAGGAGACCACACAGCCCATGTAGGGAACTGTTCAAGCTGGGAGGGGAACAGGGTGTGGAGCAGCAGTCTGTACGGCTCACTGAGTCAGCCTCCTTTGTGGACATGTGACGGATGGGCTCTCCACAGGAAAGCGTCCATGGAAAGGTTCCAGCTGATGAGGCTGCTAGGTTAACTTGCTGGTCTGAGGCTGTTGGAATTGGACATGATGAGGACCACCCAGCATTTCTGGACAGTCTGTCCCTTGTGGATTAGTAGACATAACTTTCCAAACCAAATAAACTTTATTAGTTGCTGAGGGAGAATGTTCTATCATGAGTGAAACAAGAGCAAGGGCAGGCAGGCCCTCACCCTGTGCTCTGGGCACCACGCCTCCTGGTTGGTAATTTCTGAAACTACTATTGGGGTTTACAAAAGATGCCAAAGATCTGCTTTAATCCAACTCTTGTCAAAAAAAAAAAGTCTGGACACAGAGAGGCAGTGAACCCTTACAATCAGAAATGGAGCTTCCACTGTGCTGTGCTATATGAAAGGTGGGAGTTAATGGGAAACCATTAGAGCCTCAAGGACTCAGTAAAACTGCAGGTGAGGATTACTCAACATCCATGAAGAACAAAGGTAATGGCAGATTTCTCAAAAATTGAGACATACTGAGTAAATTTTGACAGAAGGATTGAAGATAGAAAAAAATACTTCAACTTTACATGTTTATTTATATGGGTATGTGGTTGTCTGTCTATGAGGGTGTGTCATATGTGTGCAGACGCCCACAGAGGCCAGAAGAGGACATCAATCAGATCCCCTGGAGCTGAGTTACAGGCAGTGTGAGCTGCCAACACGGATGCTCTGAACTACACTTGAGTTCTCTGCAAGAGCATCTGTGTGCTCTTAGCCCTTGAGCCATCTTACCAGCCCCTGGCTTTTCAGATTTTAACCATAAAAATTATGATTTGGTGTTTCACTTTGTTTGGTTTGTTGATTTTTTTTTTTCCAGATAGAGTCTTGGTATAGCCCAGGTTAGCTTTGATTTGTGGCAATTCTTCTTTCTCAGTCTCCTGAGCGCTGGAATTACAAGTGTGAGCTATCATATAAAGTTCTTCTTTTAACCTTTTTTGAAAACATTAAACAACTTAGCCTTCTCTGGATTATCAGCTTTCAGAGAAAATAAAAGATGTATTGTCTATAAATGTTAAGAGGTATATATGGGAAATGTAAATGAACCAGGTTCATTTCCCAAATGCAATGATACAACAGGACACCTGAGATGAACAAGATGACCCACTGATGACAGCCAAGATTTCAAAACAAAAGACAGTAGCTAGAGAGTAAGAAAAATCTAAAATGTACACACGGGGCAACACAGCAAATGCTGCTGCTGGATCACAGACAGACAGACAGACAGACAGACAGGTGTACTCACAGGTGGCCAGGAAGCCGTAAACATGCAAAGATGCTGTTCTCCCTAGGCCAACCCACACACTTGCTGAGGTCTTCCCCAGATAACATGAGGTATCGTTCCAGAGGCCAAATCACTTTTAGAGTTTATATGGAAGGTAAAACAAGCAACACACACACACACACACACACACACACACACACACACACACACACACACACACACACCATTAAACTACAAAGGAAGAAAAATGAGAAGAACTAGACCTATTTTATGATAAACAAACTGAACTCTACCACTAAAAATGTCAACAGGACATGAGTACATAATAGATCAGAATGGAAAGCAGCAAGGCAGGCCCATCTGCATTCAGGAACTGAGCATGGGCTACATCCTGGCGGGAGGGGGCTGGTATCCTTCACTACACCAGAGATGGCCAAATGTTCTGCAACCTGAAAGCGGAGCAAGGTAACCTACTACTTTAACAGATACTTTGCAAAACCAACCTACAGCTTGAAAGAAATGAAAAGGAACTTATGAACCAAACACCATAGAGAGCTTTGAACTCTTGATTCTAACAACTTAAAAAAAAAATTATAAAACAGAAGAACTTAGGTTCTGATTAGATATAAAGTAATGATAAGGAACTAAAAACAATTTTAGATGTACTGGTGGCATTATATATGGCTTTTAGATTTTTTGCATTTATGTATTATTTAAGTATTTGTTGTGTGGGGGCACGGGCAGACCACAGAACACATATAGAGGTCAGAGTACAATCTGCAGGAGTTGATTCTGTCTTTCCTTCAGTGGGATCTGGAGATTGAACTTGGGTCACCAGGCTTGGCTGAAAGTACTCTTATCCCCTAAGCCATCTTGCCAGCCCTAAAGGTCTGTTTTGAAAAAAAAAATTCTTATGTTTAACAATTCCCATTTTCTGTCTAAAGACATTTAAATAAAGAATTGAGGAAAATGTACTAATAAAACACCTTTTTAAAGCATAGTGCTTTTTAACATATTAAAGGAACATAGTAATATTTTAAAATCACATCAATGTTCTTTGGACATTATATGTGTGTGTGTGTGCTTCTATATTCATAGCACTGTACTTGTAGTATGTACAATGAGAAAAAAATTGCATTATCTACGCTTTGAATTTTTAGCATGAATGAATCTGATTTTCTAAGACTGAGTAGAATCTAGAAATTTCTGTAAGAAAGAAACACGGATTCAAACAATGCAGAGAAGTCACAACAACAGCTCAGTGTGGCGTCCACAGCACCTTGCTGTGGGCAGGGCGGTTCAGACTCACTGGAGGCACTGTGAGCTCACAGTCATTTTGTAACAATGCTGATGGCGTTCACCTTTCCTAGACCTCCCCATCCCGCCTTCCCCACTGACCCAGGCTGGGCAAGTGGTCCACAGCTGGCTGCACTTCTGGGCCTCATGCTCAGGAGTGTACAGAGGGGCTGCACAGGGACTCCATGATAGCTAATGTTACTTCTCTGACACTCAAAAGAACGTGTGTGTATATTTTTGTATTTGAAAAATAATTTAAAGGTAAGAACATTTAGGGAATTTTTATATATTTTCAGAGATTCACTTAAAGTTTATTCTCTTTCTTCTACTATGCTTTTTGCCAGTCTCAATATATCTGATATAAATCTTTAAGCCTATTAGTATAAAAAAAATAAGTATTTTAAATACTCTGATGTTTTCCTTTGTGCCTACAAGGAAATATAATAAAAGGCAAGTACACAAGAAAATATTCCTTTTCCATAATGTGTTCCTAAACCTTTGAAGGGATCCGAAGAGATGGTTCAATGGTTGAGAGCACATGTGGTGCTCCTGCGAAGGACTCAGGTTTGACTCCAATACCCACACAGTGGCTGACAACCATCTATAACCCCAGTTCCAGGGCAGACAACAGGCACATGCATTGTGCACATACATGCATACAGGAAAAACATTATTCATACACTTAAAGTAAAAATAAATCTAAAAAATTACATTCTTGAAAGCTTTCTAAATTTTTATCAATTATTTTGGATAATTATATATTTTATATAAAATGTTTCATCAAGATGCAGTATATGTTTTATAGTTACATATTTTAATGTATGATTTTCATTATACTATAACTTGCCATATTTCATACAAAATGAAATGTATAGTCTACTTCTTTACTCTAAGAATGGATGGCTGACTTTCAAAGGGAGTTAGAAGATCTGCACTCCCATCCCATAGCTGTTTTGTCAGAAGATGAGCCGACAGATCAGAGCACTGACTCAGGAGGCACCGGCATCTACTCCAGAGCACGAGTACACACAAATGAGAGCAGGACTGAGGGAAGCTGTCTTCTCTGGGCTTTACAGCAGCTGGCATTTGCTGTCCTCTGTCTTCTGCAGCACCATGCTGACATGCTAGTGCAGTGCAAGTTCACTGTGGCATCAGAGAGACCTCCAGTGACTTCCAATGGTCATTGAAAAGTGTAATAAAAATGAATCCAATGATTTATAGAAAGATGCTACAGTTCATTAGTGTCTCTCTGGGCTGTGACCCTCCAGACCCTGCTAAAATTGCTGCACCATGGTCCATCGATTGGCAGTATCAGCCAAGCACTAAAGACCTTGTCTGTGAAACTTAGCCATAGACACTGAAAGTGCTGAGTGACCATCTAGAGTCTCATGGGTTTTCCTGAACCACTCACTAGCAGTGCCAAAGCAACAGCAGGCAAACTCTGTCCCTGGGTGATTAGAGACAGTCACTGCACCCTCACCCTTGCCTGCACCTTCACAGGGAAAGCTAACATATTTTTGATGGGGCGATATAATATACAGATTTTGTTAACTGTCACTCTTAGGAAGAGTTTCAGAAATTCTTCATGGTAAAGGAGAACATTTGAGACACACTGCCCCATGCCCAGCCTGTTCTGTCTGCAGAGAGGCATTCCTGTGCAAGTCTGAGCTCTTGCTTCAAGTGATACTTTCATTCCATACAGTGACTTGAAAGAATGACAATCCACCAATAATGGTTATTCATGTAATTATATGGCACATACTTTCTTAACAACTAACAAAGTGACCAGGTCACCTTTAAGGAAAAAAAGAAGGATAGAATTTGTGGTCCATGATAGGCATGAAGTGTTTTTGTTTATTTTATTGATTTTAAGCCCTTTGTAGTGGCATGTACCTGTAATCCCACTGCAAGGTAGGCAGAGACAGGAGGATCCCAGGGCATATTCTTTATTTGAAGATAAATTACTTCGTTATTACCTCTATGTACATGTGTAGTAACAGTGTACACAAGTCATGGCATCTATGTGAAAGTAAGAAGACAATTTTTTGGAAGCTAGTTCTATCATCCAACTATGGATTCCACATATCCACTCAGGCTGCCCGGCTTTCACCCAGTGAGTTATCTTGGCAGCCCAAATTTAAGCTTTAAGAGGAAATTAGAGCCTTGGAAAATTTGTGATAGCTTTTTAACATTGTGTGACACATCAACACGGATGACAGCAGCTGTTAAGTTTTCACCATATAATGGAATATGCCAACACCGACAAAATGTGCATAAGGACGGAGATTTTCCAAATGAGCCACACATCATGCTACAAAGCCACACAGAGGTACAAGACCTGAACTACAAAACAGGCATGCGTGTACATTCATGTGTGTGGTATACGCGCACACCTAGAGGCCAGACACTGGATGTCTTCTGTAATCACTCTCCAGTTACTTTTTAAGACAAATCTCCAACTTGGCCTGGCGCCTCTGATCTGGTTAGGCTGTCCCAGGGACCCTCTTGTCTCTGCTTGCCTTACCTAGGATTACAGGTACAAACCACCACAATGGGCTTTACCTACATAGGTGCTGGGATCTGGACTCAAGCACTCATGCTTGCATGGCAAGTACTTTGCCAAGTGAGCCACCACCCTAGGCTAGGTCAATAGATTTTAATGTAACAGAGTATAAAAATCTCATTAACCTGAGATTCCACGCTGCAACTAACTTTTAAAAGCGTGACCATTTCAAATAAAGGTCAAAGCAAACTATCACTCTTATCTCCAATGGCTATTATGATAGCACTGACTTTCTAATTACGCATCTGTGTGGGGATAGGCATTTCCACCAAAGCAGTATATCCCACAAACTGAACATGGCTTTCCATGCCAGGCAAAGAAACTCTTAAAACATAAAAACAGTTCTACCTGTCAAACAGATTATCTCTGTCTTATAAAAGATCACTATTTGTTGTTACTATTGTTATTATTATCTATTATTATTATGTATTATGACAACAATGATGTGTGCACCTCTATGCACACATGCAGAGGCCAGAGAAAGATAATAGATAACCTGTTCTATCACTCTCCATCTTATTCCCTTGAGAGAGGGTCTCTAATTGAGACCTTTGGAAAGTGGTTGACCAACAAGCCCCAGGTATCCACCTATTTCATTCCACACCCTGATGCTTGGGTTACAGGTATGTATAACCATGTACAGCTTTTATGTGGTTGATAAGGATCTGAAGACATGCTTGTTCAGCAAGTGTTCCTATCTACTAAGCCATCTCTACAGCCCTTTATTACTGTTTTCAAATGAAGCAATTTTCTTTTAAAGTTATATTCTCCCTTCCTCTTCCCTCCTTTCTCTCCCTTTGAAGGACTGAAGATCAAACCTATGCCTCGTGCTGGGCAAGTATTCCATCCCAGCTTAATAAGCATTTCCTAAATTTCTGGGTATGGCTTCATATATGACAAATATTGGCAAGTACAACCCATATAAGGCTCCTCGGGCTCTTCAGTAACTTTTAAGAGCATTAAAGGGAATAAGATGGCTGGGGTGAGGGATGGCAAGCAGAAAGGGGCTTGCGGCCAAGCCTGATGGCCTGAGTGCAGTCACGGGTACCACGCTGGAGTAATGAGAAAACCAATTCCTGTGAGCTGTCCTCAGACCACTACACATGCTAATAGTAAATAAATAAATATAATAAAAAAATAAAAGGGAGAACATTAAGTACATTGTCATCTGATTTTTCCACACTACAACATTCTGCAACTAGGAAAAACAAATTGAGTGATAAGATCAATGGACTCACGACAAGAAGGCCTCATTTACAGCTTCGAAGAACTCAGGTGAGAGGACTTCCTGAGATTCATGTCCATGGTAGGTGAGTAGAGCCTCCACCAGTGGTTCAAAATCAGGCAGAGTAACAAGAGGGACACAAACTTGTGATAGGGACATCATGCGCTCGGGAGCCATCCTATTAGAGAAAAAGGTAAGAAGTGACAGTCCAGATCAGAAAGTTACATGTAACTGAACACCTAAAGTCTTCTTGCTGAAAAAGACAGTGATAGACCTCCATGCTAGCCCAATAAAGATCTTCTCTAGCACCGTGTGCCAGGTCTTCTTTAGTCACTGACATTCCCATGTTTCCTGCACTCACAGGAGGACTTTATCTCTACCGCTATCTGCAGACATATCTGATTAACCAGGGCCCAAACAACTCCCCATGCCCTTCCACAGCCAATACTGTCAACTCCCTAGCTGCTCACCTGTGCAGGACAGAAATGGGTAACTCCCAACTAAATCCACCAAGTCCATGGGATGCATGCACTAGCCTGACATCCCAGGAACCCTGACCCATCTCAAGCCTTCCTCATTTGCTCCAATGAATTCTGCTTAGCATAGTTTTTCTTTTTTCCCCCTCAAAGAGTTTTATAATTGAATAAGATACAATTTTCCCAGGAACTTTTGCAGAGTGTGTTGAGCCAATATACAGTTTTCAAAGGAAATTCAACCTTTCTATGGAGTTCATTTACTGTTATCAGAAGATTGACTTTAAAAAGTAATTTGATGCCTCACACACTCTTTGAGTCTTTTTATGAGCTTTTAAAAGTCTCGTTTTTTTAATAGCTAAAAACCATGAAATTCTGTTCCTGTCCATTAAAAATAAAAAAATAACTTAGCCCCTTAAAGCCTTGGACAAGAATCAAAAGCCATGTGTGGGGTGTGTGTGCAGGTGTCTACCTTGTTTTTTAAGACAAGGTTTCTCACTGGGTCCTGGGCTCACTGAATAGACTAGGCTGGCCAGCCAATGAGCCTCAGGGACCCACCTGTCTCCATCTCCCCAGGACTAGGATCACAAACATGTACCACCATGCCCAGGTTTTTACATGGATGCTGGGGATCACTCAGGTCCTTCTATCTGCACAGCAAGCACCTTGCCAACTAAACTGTTCCCTCAGCCCCAAACTAGAAATTCTTAAGGTGTGCTGTCATGTGCATTTTAATAGCAACCACGCACATCTGTCCTGAGGCAAAATGGTGCCATGATATCACTTCAAAGACAGCTGCCAAACCTGACAGGGCCATCATAGCCATGCTACCACTAATAACAACTAAAATAACACTATCTTTTATATCTAAAGTTATCTGCCAAGTTTTTAGCTGTACAAATCATAGAGCAGTGTGGTCTACAAACTTTCTAGTTCATACCTGAATCTATAAAATTGCATCCACTTCTTTTTATCTCTTGACTATTTAAAGTTCATTTCACAAGTTTCAAAATCTTCATAAAATGTAGATTGATGCCATGAGTTCAGATACAAAGATGGTCAGAAAAGTTCCAGGGCTTTGAGAGGCTGATACATAGTCATTAACAATTAAATGACAGATGTTTAAATTCTATCCAGGTCTTTGCTACAAAGAGCTAGAAGGTATGGCACTCTGGACTTTCCAAGCAGTTGTCTTACTGTGTAGTACTATGGTTTGTGCAGAGAGCTGGGAAGACACAGACAACCACACAGGAAAGATGTTTCTAGCGGTGTGTGCTTAGCATCAAGCCCTCTGCAGTTCAGTTCTTGTGCAGAAGTGATTTGGAATACTACTCTGGCAATGAGTCAAGCACAACACTTAGTGTGATGCAGTCTGGAAAGCGCTGCTTAGCTATCCCTTGAACATGATCTCCAGGTTCTGGCAAGTCTCGGGCTGGATCCACAAACGCCATGAGTACCTTCAGAAGGCTATCTATTGACCTGTCTGCATTTTGGTAAATATAAGTACTACCTAATTTTATAGGAGTCTTTAAATGGTTTGTTTTTTGAGACAGGGTTTCTCTGTGTATCCCTAGCTGTCCTGGAACTCGCTCTATAGATCAGGCTGGCCTCAAACTCAGAGATTTTCCTATCTCTACCGCCAGAGTACTGGTAATTAAAAGTGTGTGCCACCACTACCCGATGACTTTAAAATTGTTAAGGAAATTAATCATGGACCTTTTCCAGTCTTGCTAGGAGATACAAACTGCAGCCATTGAGGTTCAGTGCTTGGTCATTGCTGACAGTCTTTCCTACCTACTCGGTCCTTCTCTCCTTTCAGAAACAAGAAAATTCACACCTGCAGGTCTTTTAGAGAAGAGGATTTTATGACAGTCACTGACTCTGGATGGCCAATGAACATTCCCGATTCAATTTCACAAACATCCGTGTGACTCTATAAAATATATAAATTTCCAGCACCACACAAGCACAACTGTTCCTTTCTTATACTGCTCAGAATTCAAGTTCACAAACATTCATTTGGCTCTATGCTAAACAGCTAAAGGAAAACATCCAATGTTGTGGAATAATTCTTCTGTACACTATGTAAATTATGCTGTGATTGGTTTGGTGAAGAAGCTGACTGGCCAATAGCTTGACAGGATGAGGTTAGACAGGAAAACCAGACTAAGAACACTGGGAAGAAGGGCAGAGTCAGAAGAGTTACCAGGAGACACAGAGGGAGCAAGACACGCTAGAGGACAGGTAAAGCCAGGAGCCACATGGCAGCACATAGATTAATAGAAATATGTTAATTTAAGTTGTAAGAGTTAGTTAGTAATAAGCCTGAGCTATTGGACAAGCATTTACAATTAATAGTCTCTGAGTGGTTATTTAGGAATAAATGGCAGAACAGAGCTGATGGTGGTCCCAACGAAAACTCCACCTACAAATGGTGCCCATAAATCCACATAAAGCCTGAGAAAGCTTTAAAAACAGTTCTAAATGCACAGAAACAGAGTTAAACACAGCTTCCTACTCTTGTGTCTCTCATGCCAGCTGCAGTACCAAGATGTATCTCCCAGCAGCTGCCTGCGGGAAGAGCCAGCTGCCCGCCACCATCCACTACTGCCATGCACTAAGCTAGGCTACACCTTCAGTGGCTGACAGCAACTTATGATTTGTTTAATGCAATCAAAAAACAATACAGATGCTCAGTAAAGACAGATCCAGATGGGGAAAAAAAACTCTAAAAGTGCATATTTGAATATATTAAATGTATATTTAAGAATATATATAGTCTTGGGAGAGAAAAAAGGTATAGACAGTCATAAAAAAGAAATATATAGTTTTAAAATAATAAAGTTCTTTAAAAGGAAGTAATATAAGAGAAAAAAGCCACTGGGCAGTGGTGGCATATGCCTTTAATCCCAGCACTTGGGAGGCAAAGCCAGGCAGATATCTGTGAGTTACAGATACAGATACAGATACAGGTCTACAGAGCGAGATCCAGGACAGCCACCAAAACTACACAGAGAAACTCTGTCTCGAAAAACCAAAAAGAAAAAAGCCATGTAAAGATGGGAAATACACAAGAGTCTGGATCCTATGTTATTGTGTTGTCTTTAAATTTTTGGGCTGCTAAGAGACACTGGATTAAAGCTGCTAGATTAAACCAATCTATATTTTAAAAAAATATCTTGACTTCAAAATTTAAGTCAAAAGGTATGTTGCATTGGGGGAAAGGTTATGTTTTTATTTCCACAGGAAATGAGAAGCTCTGGATTCATTCCAGATTGATATGGATCAGGTTTGATCAAGAAAGACCCCCTGAAAATCCTGACTACAAACATAAAGAAATAAACCTTAAAAACAAACAAACAAAAAAAAACTACAAACATGTAACATATATTTTACCTGCTCAAACATAAAACAAAAAATCATCTTTGGCTAACTTGTGTACAACACACAGTTTGTACCTGTACTAGTACAGATATATATGTTACCTTTAAAAGTTGATGTATTTTCAGAACAAGGGGACCAAACACCAATGAAAATTGATGGCCCAGGTGATCCAGCATTTCAAAATGCCTCTCTAACAGTCTCCTCAAAATTCTGCATCCAAAACAGCTTCAAGGCTGCTGGCTGAGATTATCCAGCCTCAAAGACTACTCCAGCCAGGACTTCATTATTATCTCAATTTTCTCAAAGCTCCCCCAAAGATACCAGCAATCACCAGACAACAGGAAGTAGTCTAGAGAACAATGCCCACATTCCCAAAATATTGGTTATGGATGTTTGCTAATATTTAAGGGGGGTTACAACTTGTTATTGGTAATGGTCAGAAAAAAAAAAGCTAAACAAGGGAGATGAGATTCAGGGATCTTGTTGTGAAAAGAAAAAAGGGGGATATAGAAATGATAGGATAAAAGGTTAGATTATTGAATCTACCTTAATCAAAAAATAAATATTAATCTCAAAATACCTTACAGTGGTATAGGTTTTGGTTTATTGATACAAATTTAAAGTTTTTACTATATGTATGTTTCTACTCCTATTTGGGGTATTGTGCTTATGCAACTAATTTTAAAATGTAATGTATAATTAAGAAATACAGATTAATAGTCATCTATAATAGTCAAACTTATATTCATGTTAAGTATGATTTCAAGGTCATATACAGATATATTTAGATAGATAGATAGATAGATAGATAGATAGATAGATAGATAGATAGATAGATAGATAGATGGTCTTCAAACACTTCAAAGACCAACAGAATATGGCATTTAATATGTTTAATACCTAAGGCTTTGCATGACAGTGAGACATGTCTGCTCCTGACATCATCCATTTATTTCAAATAAGATAATGGGCATTGAAGAAACTCCATATGGAGTTTCCTTTCTTTATGGCAAAAGCTAGCCATGTGGGCAAAGAAACTGCCCTTGCTTCAATTTGCTGACAGTTACTGTTCAAACCGGACCAGCAAGACACAAAAAAAGACAACCATCAAACTTTGCCAAGACAAGGTAGGACAGTCCTTCAAAGTTCCCTGCTTCTCATAAATGTCTGTCAGATGTACAAGGCCTGTAGGCCAAAGTTGGATGCCCCAACATTAGAGAAGAACCTCGGGTGAGTATCCAGGTAGCCAGATGTCCCTGTCATTAGATAACATTTCACCTTCTGGGGTCTTTGATGGAGTTAAAGACTAAATAATTAAACT